TCAACGTCGATTAAGTCCATTAAGGACCGATTTGGGATGATTCCTTCCGGGTCCATTTTTGGCAGATTGCAAAGGGGTACCATCACAGATTTCAGGCGATTTTTCCGAAATGCCATTTTCTCTCTATTTTGGAGGCTACAGATCATAGATTCAGCCCGAGACTATTCTCCACATATAATGAAGTCTATTGATCCAATTCTCCAAGGATGATGAAGCCCATTAAGCACCGATTTGGGCGAATTTATTTTCGGATGGCATTATCGTAATTTCTTGGGGGATTTTTTTCGAAAGACCATTTTCATTGAATTTTGAAGGCTACTGATCACGGATTTGGCCTGAGGCTATTCTTCAACGTCGATTAAGCTACCTGAGGCTATTAATTTCGACGGATTCTTTCGGGTCCTGATAGACCGTTAGTTACACATGTTTTCACCCCTGTTCTTACACCGTTTGAGAGGTGGTTTCTCGTGTTTTAGACCGATTTCACGCTAGGTTGTGCTTGTTTGTGATATTTCAGGTCTTGGCAAGTGAATGAAGGTTTAGGAGCGAGTTCGGGGTCGATTAAGTCCATTAAGGACCGATTTGGGCGGATTCCTTCCTGGTCCATTTTTGGCTGATTGCAAAGGGGTACCATCACAGATTTCAAGCGATTTTTCCGAAATGCCATTTTCTCTCTATTTTGTTGGCTACAGATCACGGATTCAGCCCGAGGCTATTCTCCACATATAATGAAGTCTATTGATCCACTTCTCCAAGGATGATGAAGCCCATTAAGCACCGAATTGGGCGAATTTATTTTCGGATGGCTTGATCGTAATTTCTTGGGCGATTATAGTTTCGAAAGGCCATTTTCCATGGATTTTGAAGGCTACAGATCACGGATTCGGCCTGAGGCTATTTTTCAACGTCGATTAAGTCCATTAAGGACCGATTTGGGCGGATTCCTTCCGGGTCCATTTTTGGCAGATTGCAAAGGGGTACCATCACAGATTTCGGGCGATTTTTCCGAAATGCCATTTTCTCTCTATTTTGGAGGCTACAGATCACGGATTCAGCCCGAGGCTATTCTCCACATATAATGAAGTCTATTGATCCAATTCTCCATGGATGATGAAGCCCATTAAGCACCGAATTGGGCGAATTTATTTTCGGATGGCTTGATCGTAATTTCTTGGGGGATTATAGTTTCGAAAGGCCATTTACCATGGATTTTGAAGGCTACAGATCACGGATTCGGCCTGAGGATATTCTTCAACGTCGATTAAGTCCATTAAGGAAAGATTTGGGCGGATTCCTTCCGGGTCCATTTTTGGCAGATTGCAAAGGGGTACATCACAGATTTCGGGCGATTATTTCCGAAATGCCATTTTCTCTCTATTTTGGAGGCTACAGATCACGGATTCAGCCCGAGGCTATTCTCCACATATAATGAAGTATATTGATCCAATTCTCCAAGGATGATGAAGCCCATTAAGCACCGAATTGGGCAAATTTATTTTCGGATGGCTTGATCGTAATTTCTTGGGGGATTATAGTTTCGAAAGGCCATTTACCATGGATTTTGAAGGCTACAGATCACGGATTCGGCCTGAGGCTATTTTTCAACGTCGTTTAAGTCCATTAAGGACCTGATTTGGGTGGATTCCTTCCGGGTCCATTTTTGGCAGATTGCAAAGGGGTACCATCACAGATTTCAGGCGATTTTTCCGAAATGCCATTTTCTCTCTATTTTGTTGGCTACAGATCACGGATTCAGCCCGAGGCTATTCTCCACATATAATGAAGTCTATTGATCCACTTCTCCAAGGATGATGAAGCCCATTAAGCACCGAATTGGGCGAATTTATTTTCGGATGGCTTGATCGTAATTTCTTGGGCGATTATAGTTTCGAAAGGCCATTTTCCATGGATTTTGAAGGCTACAGATCGCGGATTCGGCCTGAGGCTATTTTTCAACGTCGATTAAGTCCATTAAGGACCGATTTGGGCGGATTCCTTCCTTGTCCATTTTTGGCAGATTGCAAAGGGGTACCATCACAGATTTCGGGCGATTTTTCCGAAATGCCATTTTCTCTCTATTTTGGAGGCTACAGATCACGGATTCAGCCCGAGGCTATTCTCCACATATAATGAAGTCTATTGATCCAATTCTCCAAGGATGATGAAGCCCATTAAGCACCGAATTGGGCGAATTTATTTTCGGATGGCTTGATCGTAATTTCTTGGGGGATTATAGTTTCGAAATGCCATTTTCCATGGATATTGAAGGCTACAGATCACGGATTCGGCCTGAGGCTATTTTTCAACGTCGATTAAGTCCATTAAGGACCGATTTGGGATGATTCCTTCCGGGTCCATTTTTGGCAGATTGCAAAGGGGTACCATCACAGATTTCAGGCGATTTTTCCGAAATGCCATTTTCTCTCTATTTTGGAGGCTACATATCACGGATTCAGCCGAGGCTATTTTCCACATATAATGAAGTCTATTGATCAAATTCTCCAAGGATGATGAAGCCCATTAAGCACCGAATTGGGCGAATTTATTTTCGGATGGCATTATCGTAATTTCTTGGGGGATTTTTTTTCGAAAGGCCATTTTCCATGGATTTTGAAGGCTACTGATCACGGATTCGGCCTGAGGCTATTATTCAACGTCGATTAAGTCCATTAAGGACCGATTTGGGCGGATTCCTTCCTGGTCCATTTTTGGCAGATTGCAAAGGGTTACCATCACAGATTTCAGGCGATTTTTCCGAAATGCCATTTTCTCTCTATTTTGTTGGCTACAGATCACGGATTCAGCCCGAGGCTATTCTCCACATATAATGAAGTCTATTGATCCACTTCTCCAAGGATGATGAAGCCCATTAAGCACCGAATCGGGCGAATTTATTTTCTGATGGATTGATCGTAATTTCTTGGGCGATTATAGTTTCGAAAGGCCATTTTCCATGGATTTTGAAGGCTACAGATCACGGATTCGGCCTGAGGCTATTTTTCAACGTCGATTAAGTCCATTAAGGACCTATTTGGGCGGATTCCTTCCGGGTTCATTTTTGGCAGATTGCAAAGGGGTACCATCACAGATTTCGGGCGATTTTTCCGAAATGCCATTTTCTCTCTATTTTGGAGGCTACAGATCACGGATTCAGCCCGAGGCTATTCTCCACATATAATGAAGTCTATTGATACAATTCTCCATGGATGATGAAGCCCATTAACCACCGAATTGGGCGGATTTATTTTCGGATGGCATTATCGTAATTTCTTGGGGGATTTTTTTTCGAAATGCCATTTTCCATGGATTTTGAAGGCTACTGATCACGGATTCGGCCTGAGGCTATTTTTCAACGTCGTTTAAGTCCATTAAGGACCTGATTTGGGAGGATTCCTTCCGGGTCCATTTTTGGCAGATTGCAAAGGGGGACCATCACAGATTTCGGGCGATTTTTCCGAAATGCCATTTTCTCTCTATTTTGGAGGCTACAGATCACGGATTCATCCCAAGGCTATTCTCCACATATAATGAAGTCTATTGATCCAATTCCCAAGGATGATGAAGCCCATTAAGCACCGAATTGGGCGAATTTATTTTCGGATGGCTTGATCATAATTTCTTGGGGGATTATAGTTTCGAAATGCCATTTTCCATGGATATTGAAGGCTACAGATCACGGATTCGGCCTGAGGCTATTTTTCAACGTCGATTAAGTCCATTAAGGACCGATTTGGGATGATTCCTTCCGGGTCCATTTTTGGCAGATTGCAAAGGGGTACCATCACAGATTTCTGGCGATTTTTCCGAAATGCCATTTTCTCTCTATTTTGGAGGCTACAGATCACGGATTCAGCCCGAGGCTATTCTCCACATATAATGAAGTCTATTGATCCAATTCTCCAAGGATGATGAAGCCCATTAAGCACCGAATTGGGCGAATTTATTTTCGGATGGCATGATCGTAATTTCTTGGGGGATTATAGTTTCGAAAGGCCATTTTCCATGAATTTTGTAGGCTACAGATCACGGATTCTGCCTGAGGCTATTCTTCAACGTCGATTAAGTTCATTTAGGACCGATTTGGGTGGATTCCTTCCGGGCCCATTTTTGTCAGATTGCTAAGGGGTACCATCACAGATTTCGGGCGATTTTTTCCGAAATGCCATTTTCTCTCTATTTTGGAGGCTACAGATCACGGATTCAGCCCGAGGCTATTCTCCACATATAATGAAGTCTATTGATCCAATTCTCCAAGGATGATGAAGCCCATTAAGCACCGAATTGGGCGAATTTATTTTCGGATGGCATTATCGTAATTTCTTGGGGGATTTTTTTTTGAAAGGCCATTTTCCATGGATTTTGAAGGCTACTGATCACGGATTCGGCCTGAGGCTATTCTTCAACGTCGATTAAGTCCATTAAGGACCGATTTGGGCGGATTCCTTTCGGGTCCATTTTTGGCAGATTGCAAAGGGGTACCATTACATATTTCAGGCGATTTTTCCGAAATGCCATTTTCTCTCTATTTTGGAGGCTACATATCACGGATTCAGCCCGAGGCTATTCTCCACATATAATGAAGTCTATTGTTCCTATTCTCCAAGGATGATGAAGCCCATTAAGCACCGAATTGGGCGAATTTATTTTCGGATGGCTTGATCGTAATTTCTTGGGGGATAATAGTTTCGAAATGCCATTTTCCATGGATATTGAAGGCTAGAGATCACGGATTCGGCCTAAGGCTATTATTCAACGTCGATTAAGTCCATTAAGGACCGATTTGGCGGATTCCTTCCGGGTCCATTTTTGGCAGATTGCAAAGGGGTACCATCACAGATTTCGGGCGATTTTTCCGAAATGCCATTTTCTCTCTATTTTGGAGGCTACAGATCACGGATTCAGCGCGAGGCTATTCTCCACATATAATGAAGTCTATTGATCCAATTCTCCAAGGATGATGAAACCCATTAAGCACCGAATTGGGCGAATTTATTTTTGGATGGCATGATCGTAATTTCTTGGGGGATTATAGTTTCGAAAGACCATTTTCCATGGATTTTGTAGGCTACAGATAACGGATTCCGCCTGAGGCTATTTTTCAACGTCGATTAAGTCCATTAAGGACCGATTTGGGTGGATTCCTTCCGGGTCCATTTTTGGGAGGTTGCAAAAGGGTACCATCACAGATTTCGGGCGATTTTTCCGAAATGCCATTTTCTCTCTATTTTGGAGGCTACAGATCACGGATTCAGCCCGAGGCTATTCTCCACATATAATGAAGCCTATTGATCCAATTCTCCAAGGATGATGAAGCCCATTAAGCACCGAATTGGGCGAATTTATTTTCGGATGGCATTATCGTAATTTCTTGGGGGATTTTTTTTCGAAAGGCCATTTTCCAAGGATTTTGAAGGCTACTGATCACGGATTCGGCCTGAGGCTATTCTTCAACGTCGATTAAATCCATTAAGGAACGATTTGGGCGGATTCCGTCCGGGTCCATTTTTGGCAGATTGCAAAGGGGTACCATCACAGATTTCGGGCGATTTTTTCGAAATGCCATTTTCTCTCTATTTTGGAGGCTACAGATCACGGATTCAGCCCGAGGCTATTCTCCACATATAATGAAGTCTATTGATCCAATTCTCCAAGGATGATGAAGCCCATTAAGCACCGAATTGGGCGAATTTATTTTCGGATGGCTTGATCGTAATTTCTTGGGGGATTATAGTTTCGAAATGCCATTTTCCATGGATATTGAAGGCTACAGATCTCGGATTCGGCCTGAGGCTATTTTTCAACGTCGATTAAGTCCATTAAGGATAGATTTGGGCGGATTCCTTCCGGGTCCATTTTTGGCAGATTGCAAAGGGGTACCATCACAGATTTCTGGCGATTTTTCCGAAATGCCATTTTCTCTCTATTTTGGAGGCTACAGATCACGGATTCAGCCCGAGGCTATTCTCCACATATAATGAAGTCTATTGATCCAATTCTCCAAGGATGATGAAGCCCATTAAGCACCGAATTGGGCGAATTTATTTTCGGATGGCATGATCGTAATTTCTTGGGGGATTATAGTTTCGAAAGGCCATTTTCCATGGATTTTGTAGGCTACAGATCACGGATTCTGCCTGAGGCTATTCTTCAACGTCGATTAAGTCCATTAAGGACCGATTTGGGCAGATTCCTTTCGGGTCCATTTTTGGCAGATTGCAAAGGGGTACCATCACAGATTTCAGGCGATTTTTCCGAAATGCCATTTTCTCTCTATTTTGGAGGCTACATACACGGATTCAGCCCGAGGCTATTTTCCACATATAATGAAGTCTATTGATCAAATTCTCCAAGGATGATGAAGCCCATTAAGCACCGAATTGGGCGAATTTATTTTCGGATGGCATTATCGTAATTTCTTGGGGGATTTTTTTTCGAAAGGCCATTTTCCATGGATTTTGAAGGCTACTGATCACGGATTCGGCCTGAGGCTATTCTTCAACGTCGATTTAGTCCATTAAGGACCGATTTGGGCGGATTCCTTCCGGGTCCATTTTTGGTAGATTGCAAAGGGGTACCATCACAGATTTCGGGCGATTTTTCCGAAATGCCATTTTCTCTCTATTTTGGAGGCTACAGATCACATATTCAGCCCGAGACTATTCTCCACATATAATGAAGTCTATTGATCCAATTCTCCAAGGATGATGAAGCCCATTAAGCACCGATTTGGGCGAATTTATTTTCGGATGGCATTATCGTAATTTCTTGGGGGCTATTTTTCGAAAGACCATTTTCATTGAATTTTGAAGGCTACTGATCCCGGATTTGGCCTGAGGCTATTCTTTAACGACGATTCAGCTACCTGAGGCTATTAATTTCGACGGATTCTTTCGGGTCCTGATAGACCGTTAGTTACACATGTTTTCACCCCTGTTCTTACACCGTTTGAGAGGTGGTTTCTCGTGTTTTAGACCGATTTCACGCTAGGTTGTGCTTGTTTGTGATATTTCAGGTCTTGGCAAGTGAATGAAGGTTTAGGAGCGAGTTCGGGGTCGATCGGGCGAAGTTCGGGCGCGAGGCAAGTCGCAAAGGAGGTCACACGGGCTGCCCTGATGTTCACACGGCCGTGTGAAGGAATGGCCTGGCCGTGCGAGTTTCGCCGAGAGCAGACACGGGCAGAGCAGAGGATCGACACGGCCGTGCAAGTGGCCGGGTTGGCCGTGCCACATTCTGCGAGAGCAAACACGGGCAAGAGGGGATGTCCACACGGCCGTGCCATTCTGGCCGTGCAAAGAGCCTGGAATTCGAACTAAATGAAACGATGCGTTTTGACTCACACGGGCAACTGGGTGAGCTGCACGGCCGTGCCACCTTGGCCGTGTGAGTCGGGATTTTCTCCTTTTAAGCAGAATTTCAGCCACAATTCAAGGGGATTCGAGTTTTTGAGAGAGAGATCAGTTCCTAGAGAGAGAAAGTGACGAGCAAGAGTTCCCAAGTGCCCTAGATTGATCTTCAACACCATTGGAGGCCAGCTTGAGCTTGGAGAAGTGCAAATCAACGTCCAGAAGCAGGAATCCATCCTTCGCAGTATGAATTCCGTGTCTGATTCTGCTTTTGCTTTCTTCTCTATGGAGTAGTTCTCCCATTCATCTGGAGATTTGTATGTTAGGCTTTGATTGTATGAACCCAAGTACTGATTCTATGATTGATTATATTCGATTGAGGTTTTAATGATTGAATGACTTGAATCCTTATCAAATTCCTATTGTTTCTGCTTTGACCTAGAATGAGAATATCTGCCTAGGTTAATAGAGTATCCTTGATTGAAGGTAGGGAGTTGGTGACTTTAGTCGAGGAGCCAACTCACTATTCTGTACCGGATTTACTCCGGTAGTGGAGGTTTTGTTCTTAGGGCCTCAATCTGTCGACTCCGGTGGAGGTTAGTCGCCCGCTAGAGAGTCAGATTGAGAGGGTCTGAAGACCTTTAGTCGAGACTTCAGGCTGTTTAAGAACCTTCCGCAGTATAACTATCATAGAAACTGAACTTGGTAATTACAATCTGGCTTAACTGCAGTCTAGGGGGAACCATATTCGGGTGACCTCTTTAACCCGAATACAACCAGTTTACTTGCTTTGTTTGTTTGGTAGTTTAGACTTGCACTCCAGTTTTATTGCTAGATAACAAGAACTAACTGAGTAGTCAGCAAATCTAGGACCCGGGTTGATAATTAAACCTAAACCCGCTATACTACGCTTTAGGAAGTGGTTACACTTGGCCAATTCCTGGAGTTACAGTAGAGTCGAGTCAGGTCCATTTTTGGCAGATTGCAAAGGGGTACCAACACAGATTTCAGGCGATTTTTCCGAAAGGCCATTTTCTTTATATTTTGGAGGCTACATATCACGGATTCAGCCCGAGGCTATTCTCCACATATAATGAAGTCTATTGATCCAATTCTCCAAGGATGATGAAGCCCATTAAGCACCGAATTGGGCGAATTTATTTTCGGATGGCATTATCGTAATTTCTTGGGAGATTTTTTTTTCGGAAGGCCATTTTTCATGGATTTTGAAGTCTACTGATCACGGATTCGCCCTGAGGCTATTCTTCAACGTCGATTAAATCCATTAAGGACCGATTTGGGTGGATTTCTTCCGGGTCCATTTTTGGCAGATTGCAAAGGGGTACCATCACAGATTTCGGGCGATTTTTCCGAAATGCCATTTTCATTCTATTTTGGAGGCTATAGATCACGGATTCAGCCCGAGGCTATTCTCCGCATATAATGAAGTCTATTGATCCAATTCTCCAAGGATGATTAAGCCCATTAAGCACCGAATTGAGCGAATTTATTTTCGGATGACATTATCGTAATTTCTTGGGGGATTTTTTTTCGAAAGACCATTTTCCATGGATTTTGAAGGCTACTGATCACGGATTCGTCCTGAGGCTATTCTTCAACGTCGATTAAGTTCATTAAGGACCGATTTGGGCGGATTCCTTCCGGGTCCATTTTTGGCAGATTGCAAAGGGGTACCATCATAGATTTCGGGCGATTTTTCCGAAATGCCATTTTCTCTCTATTTTGGAGGCTACAGATCACGGATTCAGCCCGAGACTATTCTCCACATATAATGAAGTCTATTGATCCAATTCTCCAATGATGATGAAGCCCATTAAGCACCGATTTGGGCGAATTTATTTTCGGATGGCATTATCGTAATTTCTTGGGGGATTTTTTTCGAAAGACCATTTTCATTGAATTTTGAAGGCTACTGATCACGGATTTGGCATGAGGCTATTCTTTAACGACGATTCAGCTACCTGAGGCTATTGATTTTGACGGATTCTTTCGGGTCCATTTTTGGCAGATTGCAAAGGGGTACCAACACAGTTTTCAGGCGATTTTTCCGAAAGGCCATTTTCTTTATATTTTAGAGGCTACATATCACGGATTCAGCCCGAGGCTATTCTCCACATATAATGAAGTCTATTGATCCAATTCTCCAAGGATGGTGAAGCCCATTAAGCATCGATTTGGGCGAATTTATTTTCGGATGACATTATCGTAATTTCTTGGGGGAATTTTTTTTGAAATGCCATTTTCCATGGATTATGAAGGCTACTGATCACGGATTCGGCCTGAGGCTATTCTTCAACGATGATTAAGTCCATTAAGGATCGATTTGTGCGGATTTCTTCCTCATCCCTTTTTGGCATATTGCAAATGGGTACCATCACAGATTTTGGTTTATTTTTCCGAAATGCCATTTTCTGTTGATTTAGGATGCTACAGATCACGGATTGAACTCGATGATATTCTCCGCATATAATGAAGTCTATTGATCCAATTCTCCAGGGATGATGAAGCCCATTAAGCAGTGATTGGGGCGAATTTATTTTCGTATGGCATTTTCGTAATTTATTCGGAGATTTTTTTTATAAAGGCCATTTCCATGGATTTTGAAGGCTACTGATCACGGATTCGGCCATATGCTATTTTTCTACGATGATTAAGTCCATTAAGGACCGATTTGGGCGGATTTCTTCTGGGTCCATTTTTGGCATATTGCAAAGGGGTACTATCACAGATTTCAGACGATTTTTCCGAAATGCTATTTTCTTTCTATTTTGGAGGCTACATATCACGTATTCAGGCCAAGGCTATTCTCCAAATATAATGAAGTCTATTGATCCAATTCTACATGGATGATGAAGCCCATTAAGCATCAATTTGGACTAAATTTATTTTTGAATCGCATTTTTGTAATTTCTTGCGGGATTTTTTTCGAATGGCCATTTTCCATGGATTTTGAAGGCTAATGATCACGGATTCAGCCTGAGGCTATTCTTAAACGATGATTAAGTACATTAAGGACCGATTTGAGCGGATTTCTTCTGTGTCCTTTTTTGGTAGATTGCAAATGGGTACCATCAAAGATTTCGTGCGATTTTTCCGAAATGCCATTTTCTTTCGATTTTGGAGGCTACAGATCACGGATTCAGCCCAAGTCTATTCTCCACATATAATGAAGTCTATTGATCCAATTATCCACGGAAGATGAAGCCCATTAAGCACCGATTTAAGCGAATTTATTTTCGGAATTTATTATTGGATTTTTTTTTGAAAGGCCATTTTCCATGGATTTTGAAGGCTACTGATCTCGGTTTCGGCCTGAGGCTATTCTTCAACAATGATTAAGTCCATTAAGGACCGATTTGGGCGGATTTCTTCCGGGTCCTTTTTTGGCAGATTGCAAAAGGGTATCATCACAGCTTTCGTTCGATTTTTCCGAAAAGCCATTTTCTTTCTATTTTGGAGGCTACAGATGGTGGATTCAACCCGAGGCTATTATCTGCATGTAATGAAGTATATTGATCCAATTCTCCAAGGATGATGAAGCCCATTAAGCACCGATTTGTGCGAATTTATTTTCGGATGTCAATTTTCGTAATTTCTTGGGGGATTTTTTTCGAAAGGGAATTTCCTTGGATTTTGTAGGCTACTGATCACGGATTCGGTCTGATGATATTCTTTAAAGATTATTAAGTCTATTAAGGATCGATTTGGGCGAATTTCTTTCGGGTCCGTTTTTTGGTAGATTGCAAGTGGGTACAATCACATATTTCAGGCGATTTTTCCGAAATGTCATTTTCTTTCGATTTTGGAGGCTACAGATCACGGATTCAGCCCGAGCCTATTCTCCACATATAATGAAGTCTATTGATCCAATTCTCCACGGATGATGAAGCCCATTAAGCACCGATTTGAGCGAATTTTCTTTCGGATGACATTTTCGTAATTTCTTGGGGTATTTTTTCGAAAGGCTATTTTCAATAGATTTTGAAGGCTACTGATCACGGATTCTACCTTAGGCTATTCTTCAACGATGATTATCTCCATTAAGGACCGATTTGGGCGGATTTCTTCTGGGTCATTTTTTGGCAGATTTCAAAGGTGTACCATCATAGATTTCAAGCGATTTTTCCGAAATGCCATTTTCTTTATATTTTGGAGGCTACAAATCACGGATTCAACCGAGGCTATTCTCCACATAGAATGAATTATATTGATCCAATTTTGCATGGATGATGAAGCTCATTAAGCACCGATTTGGACGAATTTATTTTCGGATGACATTTTCTTAATTTTTTGGCAGATTTTTTTTCGAAAGTTCATTTTCCATGGATTTTGAAGGCTACTGATCACAGGTTTGGCCTGAGGCTATTCTTCAACGATGATTAAGTCCATTTAAAACCGATTTGGGCGGATCGCTTTCGGGTCCTTTTTTGGCAGGTTGCAAAGGGGTACCATCTCAAATTTTGGGCGATTTTTCCGAAATGCCATTTTCTTTCGATTTTGGAGGCCACAGGTCACGAATTCAGTCCGAGGCTATTCTCCACATATAATGAAGTCTACTTATCCAATTCTCCACGGACGATGAAGCCCATTAAGCACCGATTGGAGAAATTTTATTTTTGGATGACATTTTCTTTTATTGGGGGATTGGTTTCGAAAGGCCATTTACCATGGATTTTGAAGGCTACTGATCACGGGTTCGCCCTGAGGCTATTCTTCAACGATGATTAAGTCCATTAAGGATCGATTTGGGCGGATTTCTTCCGGGTTCTTTTTTGGCAGATTGCAAAGGGGTAACATCACAGATTTTATGTGATTTTTTCGAAATGCCATTTTCTTTCGATTTTGGAGGCTACAGATCATGGATTTAGCCCGAGGGTATTCTCCACATATAATGAAGTTTATTTATCCAATTCTCCACGGATGTTGATGCCGATTAAGCACCAAGTTGGCGAATTTATTTTTGGATGGCATTTTCGTAATTTTTTGGGGGATATTTTTCGAAAGGCCATTTTTCATGGATTTTGACGTCTACTCATCACGAATTCGGCCTGAGGCTATTATTCAACTATGATTAAGTCCATTAAGGACCGATTTGGGGTGATTTCTTCCGGGTCTCTTTTTCGCAGATTGCAAAGGGGTACCATCACAGATTTCAGGCGATTTTTTCGAGATGCCATTTTCTTTCGATTGTGGAGGGTACATGTCACTGATTCAGCCCGAGTCTATTCTCCACATATAATGAAGTCTACTGATCTAATTCTCCACGGATGATGAATCCCATTACGCACCGATTTGGGCGAATTTATTTTCGGATGGCATTTTCGTAATTTCTTGGGGGATTTTTTTCGAAAGACCATTTTCCATGGATTTTGTAGGCTACTGATCACAGATTCGGGCTGAGGCTATTCTTCAACTATGACTAAGTCCATTAAGGACCGATTTGGGTGGATTTCTTCCGGCTCCTTTTTTGGTAGATTGCAAAGGAGTACCATCACAGAATTCAGGCGATTTTTCCGAAATGCGATTTTCTTTCGATTTTGGAGGCTATAGATCACTGATTCAGCTCGAGGCTATTCTCCTCATACAATGAAGTCTATCGATTTGGACGAATTTATTTTTGGATGATATTTTCATATTTTTTGGGGGATTTTATAATCATGATTTTTCAAAACCCAAATTTTACCAAAATCCTCAGAAAAATCTATGAAAAAAATACTCATTGTTTATTTATTGAAATAATAACTCTTAATCTATAATGATTAGCAAATATAATTGAAGAGGGAAATAGTGAATTAGTGATGGTGGGCTAGAGAAATGAGTCGCAGTTTGTTCCTTTTCCTTCCCATCAATCCTTGCCCTTCCTTTTCTTCTCTTCCCTCCCGTATACTGTGATAATTGAAAAACCCCTCTTCCCCCAGAATTCAGAAAGCTCCCATTCCGCTTGAACTTTCTCACTCTCGTTGCCTTCACTCGCACTCCCGGCGAATCTCCGCAAAGCTTCCTCCTTTCACATTTTTTATACCTTCTTCCTCCCTTCTTCTACCTCGGGCTTCCCTATCCATTGCTGCTTGGTCGGACATGGTTGGGCGTCTCTGATATTATCCGAGTGAGTTCCCGCCCTCTTTACTTCCTCACAATCTCTAGCTTCTGCTCATTGTCGGTATCTTATGAATCTCTTTCCTGCTTCGCGCGAATTTGATTTTGAATCTTGTGGTGAGAACTGTTTGAACTTTTGAAAGGTAGCGGCTTTTAGGGTTTTGGTGTTCTTTCTCGTTATTTTCCTGCTGTGTTCGGATATGTGGGTGGTGGAATGTGAGTGCTCATTTGGATATTTTTGGTGTTGGTAAATGAGCTTTATCTTCTTGCTTTAGTTCGGAATAGGGGGGAAACCCTTGTGAAGTTCAGTGGCCTTAGCGAGTTGAATTGGATAGTGATTGCGGAAAGTCTCAGCTTTTAGCTTTAGAAACTTAGTTTCATCTCTTTTCTCACTGGTTTAAGTTTGTTGAATTCGCTAGCTGACAGGCTCGCTGGTTTTAGTGAGATGAATTGGTTAGCTTGTTAAAATTTAGAAAAGAAGGAAGCTTTCATGCGTTTCAGTAGTTTTACGGTGTTCAACTGGCTAGTAATTGCTGAAAGGTTCAGAGTTTGAGCAATTCTCCCGCTGTTTGCTCAGTGTATTTGTGTTTATTCTGATTTCTGAAGGCCCACACAATGTCGGGTTGGGCAGTGTATGGGGGCTGATTCTTTCTGCTATCCACTAATTGCTATTTATTAGCTGAGAAATTCTGTGATCCTTACTTTCCTTGTTATCTTTGCTTGCTTCTTGATTTGTGTAATCACATTGTGGATTGAATTTTAGTATGAAGCTTCTATGGGTTATCACATTAAATCATTTGGAAACCTATCTCAAGCTTTTTGAATATGTGTTAAAAATGACTGTGATAGGACCCTTCATTAAGATTCCTGAGTAGATTTAAGCTAAATGGCCTAGGCTAGATAGTATTATAGGGATTTTAGTTAAATCTTTGTCCCCCAGAACAGTTTTCCTCCGTGCTAATACAAGATATAATTTCTATGCAGTAAATTTCACGAGGTCTATGCATGGAGGGGGTTCGAAGTATGCTTAAGTAACTGATGCGAATAAAACTTTGCCATGCTACTCAATCCATCTACAAGTGCAACGTTTTTCTGCAAATTAGTGGATCATTGCAGTTTAAATAGGGTGGAAAGCACTACAAAGGTTTTTGGGGATAGCTATGCAAAAAAATCTTCTAGGAGTTGGCTAAGGAATCTCTCAGTGAAATAAATCTCCATGGTTCTTTGATGCTGAATGCTCTAAGAAGGCTGGAGAAGGATTGAAGTCATGCACCTTTTTCCATAGGAAGCAACATGGCTATAGTTTTGTTCATTGTGCGGAAGCTAGCATTTCCATTGGATGGAAGAATGATGTGAAACTACATTCTTTGTAGCTATAGCATCTATATTCTGTAGAGGAATTACTGTAAGAGCTCGTTACATGGAGCCGGCATTTGCCAAGGATTTAGCGATTTTTATTCGTTTTTTTAAAGATGCTGATAATCAATAAACAGATTTTTTTTTTTGGCATTCTCTGGAAGCTTGGTATTATCTGTTTTGCTCAATGGGACATACTCCTTAGGAGCAAAACATACACTATATGGAATTTTTAATGTGAGATGGAATGTATTGCGCACAAAGTAATTATTTGAACGCCATACTACCTGTTGACTCACAGTTTTTCCCTTGCAAATGAAGTATGTGAGAGATCATTTTCTTTAACCATTGAAACTCAGAGATCTTTTTCTTTGGTGGACTGCTAGTTGTTCTTACCACTGTTTGTAGATCTTATTGTTCCAGTAGTTTGAGGGTTGAAACAGTGATGATGAAGAATTTTGCTCCATTTCAGTGTACTTGGGAAAACTACTTGTGAAATTTATTGGATTATTATTGCATGGAATATTTCAATGAGCTTTTCATGGTATTGAAACTCTCGAGCTCTTTTCTGTGCTTGTAACATTATTGCCGATAGTTTAGCAATTGTGTGCACATATTTTTATTAAACATGCTAATATGAGATATCTACTTAATGTATTTTTGGGAAGCAGACTCTCTGGTTTCTACACCTCATAGATATCAATGTGCTCTAAATGGTATTCTGTTATAAGTAATTCTTTCATAAAGCTTTATGAATATGTTGCATTCTTATCCTACAGGTTGTGTTCAGCATTCGATGAGAGAAGGAAGTGCCTATCACAAAATGAGTGGTGGCAGTGGTGGTCGAAAGCGTAGTTCTAAGTGGGATTTGAAAGAAGAGTCTCGAGCTTCCTTCGAAAATCACCACAATAATAATTCTTGGTCGGGGAAAGCAGCAGGTACAACTTATCATGAGACTGATGGCAGTAGTCGAAGTAGGTGGTCTACTGCCGATGCTAGAAGAGGCTCACATGGAGATGATATGGTTGATGATGAATATGGCAGATCCTCCAAAACAATGGGGGCATGGGAAAGAGATGAAGGTTATTTGTCGACTCGTCGCCACTCTCCTAATAAAGAATTGAAAAGACCAGGAAGGTTTGTTGTCTGATTGATGTACATATACCTTTGGTGTTTGTTGCTTTTGCATTATGTCACTTTCTGAATGCATCGAATGAGATGGTTAGTAATTTGATTAGAAATAAGAAAATGAGTAGGTTTGTGGGAAATGTCTAATATAGGCATAATTTTACGAAGAAATACTTATTTCAAGGGGAAAAATTAGATATGACTTTTTTATGTGGCTCTTATCTATTATTACTCTGAGAGTTCACCATGAATAGATATTGTTAAGGTGGAGAGGTACTTTTGTTTCAGCTTTTAAGTCCATTTGCTAAAGGAACTTTGTTTTAACTCACGGATATATAGCCATAAGTTTTTTGGAAACCATTACCGGAGATCAAACTGGTGAAACTAATTGTACTGTAATAGAGGTATAATGGAAAAAGCGAAAGCATAACAAAAAAGTATCAGCTTGGTCCTTGGCACGGTTGAGCCAGTACAACCGTCACGGTATGGCACTATGTCACAATTCACAAACACAAGGTCCATAATACACTTTCCTATTGTCATTCATTTTATTGCCTCGCCTGAAACTTCTCATTATGCTTTTTATTCTGATGTTTCATGGTGGTTAAAAGTTGTTGTAACTCTTCTGGATGGTATTGGAGCTTCATTTTGCCTTCAACATGTGCATATTTATTCGCAGAAGCAGAAGCCGTAGCAGGAGCCCAATTCGACGAGAGTCAGGGACTTCTGACCGAGGTAGAAGCCGATCAAGTCAATCATCTCAGATATGCAAGGAGTTTTCTACTGGAAAATGCAGAAGAGGCAGTCACTGTCACTTTCTTCATGAATTTGGTGAGAGTTACGAAGATAGCTATGATGGGCGGAGGAAAGCTCTACCTTCGAGATATTCTAATGATCCCGAGGAGTACCGTAGTGTTAGTAGTGGACAAAATGCTGGCGGCTTGTGTAGTGATTTTCTCAAGGGACACTGCAGAAAAGGAGCATACTGCAGGTTTTCCCATTCCGATCCCTCTGCTAAAGGGCCCACTACCAATGAGTTGATTCGGGAGAGAGATAACATGGACAGAAGGACCCACCGTGTTGGTTCTCCTTTAGGTAGACATGATGAGCAGCAGAGTCGTGGTAGAGCAACGGAGACTCCTTGCAGATACTTTGCTGCTGGTAATTGTAGGAAAGGAAGAAATTGCTGGTTCTCTCATCAGGGTCAACAGGGTATTTTGAGTCCCGAGAATCGGAGACCGAGGACCGAGAAGCAGTTGATGGAACCAAATGTGGAAGATAAACAGGATAAAACGTGGGATGGCCCGAAATGGAACGACATGGACAATTATTCAAAGTCAAGCAGGGATGTGGAGAAACCATGGAATGGTGAAAAATATAGCAATCCGGTTAATCCTTCAGATGCTGCAAAGCCTAGTGATGCTGGAACAACAGTCAAACCGTGGTCTTTGGATGATACACGTGGTCGAAGTTTGGATGGTCGAACTGCAAGAGATCGTCACCAGCCACCAGCTAATATGGTCGAGAGTGGCAGAAATGAAGTCCTCATGGTGAAAGGGGAAAATGCCAGTGACAATCGTCACATGCCTGACCAAAGTATGAATAATGATTGGGCAGGTGATATGGAGATGTCTCCTGAATGGAACTATGGACCTTCTAACCATATAGATAAATTGCCACCACCGCCCAGCACAGAGGTCTCAGTGGCCATCCAGCCATTGAGACACGATACGTCTTCCATTCAGCATAACTACTATTCGAGAGATACGAATGGTGCACCTAGAGAAGTCAATGGCCTTCATACCAACAGTTCTGGAAACATCTTGGGTGCACCGAGCTTAAACCCTAATAATGGTCCGAGTATGAATGCTTTACCGGCTCTTCATCCAAGCATGAACTCAGTCGAGCAAAGCCGAGTGGAGACCACGATAAACCATCTGAGCCCGATGCTGATGAATATAGGAGGACAAGGCATCAACAACATGCAAGCTATGGGTGACCGAAGTGCTGAAGCTGTCAATTCGAGCTTAAACCCTAATGGTCCGAGTATGAATGCTTTGGCTCCTCTTCTTACAAGTGTCAACCCAGTTGAGCAAAGCCGAGTTGGGACCACACCAATGAATCCTCTGAGCCCAGCACTTTTGAATATTGGAGGACAAGGCATCAACAACTTGCAAGCCATGGGTGACAGAAGTGGGCTAGCTGTCAATTCGAGCATTCCCCCAACTCAGAACATGGTCAGTGATGGTCGGGTTGCTGAGCTCACCAACTCTATTGCTATGTTTCTTGCTCCGCAGCTTTTTGCTGCTCCTAGCTCTAATCAAGTTAGTGATATGGCTCAGATTGCAAATACCGAGCTCTCTACTAAACTAGATCAACCCGTTATACCTCAGAAGCAATATGATCCTTTATGTGACAGCATAGAACCTGAGAATCAAGGTGTCGGCAGTAGTCCCTATGATAACAAAGAGAAGAGCACTGGAGATAAAGAAGAAGCTCAAATGGCTGCACCGAATGTTAGTCAAGAAGAAGTGCCTAATCTGAAACCTGGTGCAGAATCTGAAGTTGTGAAGGAAAGTAGTGGCAAGAAGGCTGCAAAGGGTGCCAGCAAAGCTAAGGAAAGTAAACCAGAAGAAGAAGACATTGATGGAGATGGTAAAGGTGACGAGGGGAAGAAAAACAAAGAACCCAAGGGGATTCGAGCATTCAAGTTTGCACTTGTGGAGTTTGTTAAGGAAGCTTTGAAACCCTCATGGAAGGAAGGGCAAGTGACAAAAGATTCCTACAAAAACATAGTGAAGAAAGTGGTGGAGAAAGTGACTAGTACAATGCAGGCTAGCAGCATACCGCAGACACCAGAAAAGATTGATCTTTATCTGTCAGCTTCAAAGCCAAAGTTGACCAAACTTGTACAGGTAACCTTCTCCCAATTACATCATTCTTTGCAGCCTTTTCATTACTGAAAGAATCCACTGCTCTCGTGAGAGGGAAGCAATTCAATGTTTGAAGATGGAGTACTATTTTTCTGTGGCAGGCTTATGTGGAAAAATTCCAGAAGGGTAAATGAAAAACCGGAACGAATCCCTGGGATGGTTGTTTCCATCAATCTTAGCTTGGCCATTTGTGACATAGCAGGATGATATAATCCAATGAGGATGTTTGTGAATCTCTTGTCTTGATCTTCTCGACTAATTGAGGCTTTACCTTTAAATGTAACTCTTTGTCGCCATTTCTTGCTTCTCTTTTTTCCATTTTCTCAACTTTAAGGAACGATGGCATGTAGAGTCAGTCCAGTAGTACAGGTTTTCATGTTGCAAGCCTCTGCTCTGTTTCTTCAGTTTAGTTTAAGATGGAAAATCGACGAATCTCTTAATACCTTGGGCCGTAGCGAGGTTCTTTCCTTTTTCTTCTGGGTGTATGTTTTTCTGCAGATTGAATGGATTCCCTTTTTAAGATTTTAGATGGAATGAGTGTACGGAGAGTGCTTCTTCATGTATACAAAGTTTGATAATTTGAAGACATTTGTCCATGGGGATTGCTTCTTGAAAATGCAGCAAGTCCCTGTTTCTTTTTTTATACAGAAAAGTCACTTTGCTCCACCAATTGTTCAAGGTCTAGTGCTGTCAGCCAACTCCAAAACGAGATTTAAGATTAGTAATCTCAACGTGGCTCCGCCACTAGAACAGGAGAGGAGAAAGCAACCCACGTTGCAGGATTCGTAGAGATCTAAACGACTTCAACTATTGTAGACATAATCGTATAATCGCCCTCAATATTCTTGGTGGAAAAGACCATAGAGCTCCTCGAATCTCTTTAGTCATCCAACAACTTTCGGCTGTGGACTGATGAGTCTTTTTTTACCGAGTTTAGGTCGTTGAAAAACTAAAGGAACATAACCATTCTAGGAAATGCATTTGATGGTACCATCTTTCTCAATGCATTTCCTTTTTTCTTTTTTCCTCTTCCTCGAAGGAAAATGGAGAAGAACATAAAAAGGGTAACGAGGGGGAAGGAATGATTACCTGTTGTGCATGCGCAAGCCATAAATGATAGAATTTGCAGTTTGTGGAAACATCTGGTTTTGGTAGCAAGAAAGTGAACAGCAGGCCTTCCATTTCCTCATAAACAGTAAACAGAGGAAGCCCTCTGTATATGAATTCCCGCCACCACCGTCTGATGAGCTAGATTCATCATCAGATGTTGTTTCTTTTCCTGTTACTTCTGTTCTAAGTTGTGTAAGGCCATGATGATGTGGCCAAACGCAGAGCAGCTCTCGAAGTTCAAGCATGAAACATCTGTAATGAGTTTGAATGTGTATGTATTGTTTGTGAAGAGAATTCCGATGCATACATTGGAGATTATCGTAACCTATGAAAACTTTGTAAATCCATGTGGGTGGGTGGGTAATCCAAGCGTATAATCTTGTTGGTGGTCAATATGGGGTTTTCTTAGAAATGGTTTGATGTGAGAATAAACATGGGAGAGCACAAATTGCCACTTACCACCTGAGGAGTTTGAAGGATGGATTCTCTCAGTTCAACTAAGATCTCTATAGTTTGATAACTCGAAGTGGATTTGTATTTACTACATTTTTTAGATTTAATCTAACTCAAGTAAAAACAAACCGGTAAATATATAAAATAATAGGTTGATTGATAATCAGTTGAACTCTTTTTTCTAACTACCCAGGAAATTATGCGTAGTCCTTCCTGTTTAGGTAATAAGGAGTACACCCTTACCATGTGTCTGATGGTATAAAGTCTTAGGTCAAATGTAAATCAGTACCAAAGTGAGACACATAACCGTAACCTCATCACCTAATCAAATGAATTGAATAAATTAAAGCATTAACGTGAATCAATGGGAAGTGAGAACTGATCTTGATGTCAACTATCAAGATTTGCTTTTGCTATTCAAAAACCAAGCCCAAGTGTGTTAGAAACCAACTCTTTTAGGGTTTCTATACTTATTATTAGTATTACAAATAGGATAATTCTTATTATGCTAGTAGTCTTTTAGTAGAATTAGGTTTACTATTAGGGTTTTCTAGAATTCCCTATAAGTATGTACTTTACCTATTTATTCGGTATCAATAAGAAGAACATTAAGAAAATCCTTAAACCCTATTCTCCCAACTCCTCTCAATTTCTCCTCTATCCCTAATCCGGCCGTCGGCCATTCTTTCTTGTTCTTCCCCCAAATTCTACTTCTTAATCCCTAATTCTATTCTTCAAATCCCTAAATCTCCAATTATCAAACCCAGTTAGAAACTAATTTGTTTCTAACAAAGTGCCCAACCCACTTTAAAATGGCCAAGGAAGAGTGAGAGAGCCATTAATTCGGTCCAATATGATTATCAACTTGATTATGAGGGAAACAAAAACCAAGAATAAAAGAGCTATAGTGTCACCAAAGAGCATGATAAAAGGGGCGAGGGAGAGAGCTAGCTAGCTAGGTATATAGTGTAACCATTTAAGGAGGAGCAAGAAAGAGACTTTGATCCACCAAGCCATCCCTTTAAGAAGCAATCTAGGTTTTCAGTGCTTTGCTTTGCATAGTTGCATTGATCTTCTTCATCATCATTCACCAGCCATAAGTATATATGCAAGCAAAAGTGCCAATATTCCCCTCTTATATATTTGTGTCAAAAGAAGGAAAAACAAAAAGCATTGAATGGTTTTGCTTGCTAGCATTCATTGTGACACACCATCGATAAGCCCTAGAAATATAAATGATGGCCGACCTAGGAGAAATTATTACATAAAAGTGAGAATCCCCCTCCACCCAAACTTGTTAAAGAATTTGTACTCATATGCATCATGTTATACATTGATAGCGTGGTACAAGATCCGAGCCTGTGGCCCTTGCAGTGTCGGGCATCCCTTGCTCGTGTGGTTTCTATTCTCTGTGTTTCTCCTTGGATCACGGTTGAGTTTGTTCCTCGTCGATTTAATAAGGTGGCTGATTGGATCGCTAGGAACTCTCGCCTTGATCTCCTTCCTCCGGAATGGATTTTCATTGCCAACCTTGTCGCTCCATTATTGTAATCGTTGTGCTCCCCTTGGTTGGGTTTGGAATGAAATGAATGATGCCTATTGTAAAAAAAAAAAAAAAAGATAGCGTGGTACACTATTAATTTTGGGTGTATACACAATATATATACTTATTCAAGAATTATAATCCAAGCATAAATTATTTGAATTTCATTTGCGGATATTTGATTAATATGATGATATAGTATAGACCTAAAACTATTTTGCTTAGTTTTAATCGTTAATTTTTTTATAATGATCATTAGATAAATTTCTAAAGATATATCAAATAAATTTCAGACATATTTTAAAATACATATAAGTAGTTAACATGTATACTCGAATCTGTTGTAAATTGTAATACATACTTAATAATTGTCAATTTACCCCCTAGATCATTTTTTCTGTTGAGAAAAATTAAATCTTATTGATATACAATCATAATTTTGTATTATTAGCATGCATCGATGCTCTAATATCAAGCTAGGCACATTGATAACTCACTAAATAACAATATATATATGGAGCTAGATGAAGATTTGACCCAAGCTATCACTAAATAACAATATATATGGAGCTAGATAAAATCACTAAATAACAATATATATGGAGCTAGATAAAAATTTGAACCAAGCTATTAGACTTGAGAAAATCTTTGTACGCTCTATTGAGTAAATAGTACACTGCATCAATCTTTACTGGAAAAAAAAAGTGTCTGAACCCAGGTTCGATCTGGGGACATTTAGTGTGTGAGACTAACGTGATAACCAACTACACCACCCAGACATTCATTAAAACAATGTATTAAGTACTATTATAGCAGAGCCAAAAGTTTTTTAAGTTAGGAAATTACCATGATTTCTATTCATGAGGATAATTTTTTTTAATGAAAAGTGGACCAAATTGAGCTAGAACCGACCCAAACCAAACTAGATCGAATACAATTTCAACCGAATTCTAGTACTTGTTGTTTTTTATATGTCGTTCTATGTCGATCTAGCCCAATTACTTGTTCTCGATTGAATAAGTCATAGAAAATATTTACTTGCTTGTGGCCAAGTTCGAATCGGATACCTTTATACTATGTGAGATTAACTTATAATCAACTACACCACCCATGCATTCATCAAGGCGCTCTGGTGAGATCTTCACAGACAGAAAAAGATTGCAATCAATTTGATAATGATCCAGTGACATTGCTTTTTCGACCCAAACAAGGAGTCCCACAAAATTGTTTGCATGAATTAACCATCTCTGGGAAACTCTTTCATCCATTGCAATTGTGCTCCACATGGTTACAAGTTCCCTTTAAATTAAGGAAAACATCTCTTGTCACGTTAGGTGACAAAACACCTAATGTCAATTTATTCACGTATTTTTGTACTCATTCACGCCATTTTGTGTGTATTCACGTAATACTATGTTTATTCACGTAAATGAAAATTCAGACTTTTTCCCCCTAATAATTTGTATTGGCTATATTTTATGGAATTAAATTTGGATTCTCAATTAGTCTGTAAAAATATGTTGCATTGATCATAATCTACACAATGACATCCATTTTGATATATTTTAACGTCTAAAATTTAATTTTAAAATGGCGTGAATAAATAACAATATGCGTGAATTGACACCAGGTTGCGTGACTAAACAATATCGGTTGCGTGAATTAGCAACACTCTTACGTGAACAATGTCAATATGGCGTGAATAACGAAAATATGGCGTGAATAAATGAAAAAATGCGTGAATTAGGTGTTCTTGTCACCTAACGTGACAAGAAACTTGATTCTTAAATTAAAGGTATCAACCTCAAACATCATAGAACCTTTTGAAAATGAATAATTTTAGTTACGATGCTACTGCATTATAATGTATCCGTTACTGATCGATAAACTTATTCGAAAAAAATACAATAAATTAAACAAGATGGAATAGATAATATATAAAATATACTTCACCTTAAAACCAATTATGACGACGGCCGTTGCATTTATTTTCTCTGACATCATCATCTCCCCAAAGCCTCATAATCTTTATTTTTTTTCTTTTCTTCTTCTTCTTCTCTTCTCCCCCTTTCTCTCTCACTCACAGAACATGAACTCCCCCATGCCCATCAAAAAGCCCTCAATTCCTCCCTTTCTCTCTCACTTGCACCAAAAACTCCCTTTTCTTTCCTCCTCTCACTCTTTCTCTCCTCTTCCTCAAAACCCTCATTTCTCTTATGGATATCAATCAAACCCATCTCTGGAATAATATCATCCACCACCCACCACCACAAATTGATCAATCCCAACATCAAACCTCAACAAACTTCCCTTCTTCCTTCCACCACCACCACCCTCACTTACAATTCAACCATTTCCCATCTCCAAACTTTCTCAGCAACCAAACAGAAAACCAAGTCGAATCCACTCACGACACTAAACAACAACAACAACACAACCACTACTCACAATTGGATCCTTTCACCTCTCCAAGCTTCCTCCGGAGCCAAACAAAGAAGCAAATCGATTCGACCCACGACCCTATGCAACTTCTCCGTTTGGAAAACCAAGATCCGTCGCTAAAGGAACGCAACGAAGCACGAGAAGGCCTCGAAGATGGTGATCATGATAACGATGAGGCTGAGGAGGAGGAGGAGTTGGGAGCCATGAAGGAGATGATGTACAGGATGGCGGCGATGCAGCCCGTGGAGATCGACCCGGCCTCGGTTCGAAGGCCGAGGAGGAGGAACGTTCGGATCAGCGACGACCCTCAGAGTGTCGCTGCCCGACGCCGCCGCGAGAGGATCAGCGAGAAGATTCGGATCCTCCAGCGGCTGGTCCCCGGAGGGACCAAGCTCGACACGGCATCCATGCTCGAGGAGGCCGTGCGGTACGTCAAGTACTTGAAGCGCCAGATACGCCTCCTCGAAACGACATCTGATCACCATATTCCTCCTTGTAGTTCGGCAGCAGATGGTTTGGGAGGATTTCTTGGGTTCGGGATTGGTGCTGCCGCTGCCGCCGCCGCAGACGGCGTTCACGTGGGCGGTGGCGGTGATCATCATGGTCTAGTGTGCTTCGGTAGTCATGAGGTAATTAGCGATCCTTAATTGGAAGTAATTACTCTGGCTTGATTATTGTAAGAGTGTTGTATATAATGATACTTGTATGTTATTTAGATTGGATAATTTACAGGGTTAATACTAATATATATACATATTGGCGGGGAGGGTGGTGGTACTAGACTACTAGTCCAGTCTTTTGTGGCAGAATTTAATGTTTTTATGTTCGAATACTAATGATAATTCATGATTAACACTTGGTTAGATAAAATATAGTACAATCAACTGATGTAGATGTTTTCACTAAACGGATTTTGATGAACGAGGATATGGTTGCTTAAATAGCTAGTCGTAAGAAAATTCATGTTATTAGTGAGGTTTAATTTGAGTTAGTGCAAATTTCAAGTGGATTATGATGAGTAAGTTCCAAATTCTTGTTTGAGATGTGATGGTGTACAAAGTAATAGTGCATAAAATTCGTCAATAAATTTTTTGTTTTGAGAACTCGAGTTGTTAAGTATGTTGATAATTGATCTAAATATGAATAGGGGTGTCCGTTTGTGTTTCTATGGCTTGTTTTCTCACTCTTGCTAGTTGCAAGTTGCTACAAATCATATGAATTGCAGGAAAAGAACAAATAAGCCAATCAAAATCTGTTTGTTCTTATGTGATGTGTTTGTTAGGATATTGTTGACCAGAAAAAAAAGGATTGAAATAAATAATAATAATAAATACTAGTTTGTATGAAAACAATATTCATAACGGTTATGGAAAATACAGAGGATATTGTTATTATATTTACAACTTACAAAAGAAACAAAAATATGCATGTGTGCACACAAACTACAAAGGTTTTTCATTTTGTTTTTATGTTTAAAACCAGACCAAAATTTTATTTTATTTCTAAAGGTGATCAAAAGCGTGCAGGTTGGCCGGAAAGTTCTGTGAGTCAGCAGCTCATTTCCCGGGAATAATTATTAGAGAAACCCTCTGATATCTGACGTTATAATTCATGCATGTAGATGTATTTGAATTTCTTATGAATATTTTTATATGTATTTTTCTTGTATATATGAAATATGATGAGATCAGAGTCATTTCTCTTGGTAATTTCTCTTGGTTTTATAAAATCAGTAATTTATAAAGTATTACGAATTAATTTCAAATGTCAAATTGATTCATCTAAATTTTCTGATGGACAACAAGTCAATTGGATTAAATTGTTACTTTACAAATTTCTAATCCAAATGAACCATAATCTCGTAGGGTGAATGGTTAATGTTGAACACTCTTGGTCTTAGAGGTCTCACATTAGCTTACAAAGCTATAACATTAAGTTGTTATTGTCAGCTTAGTTAGAGTAATTAGGACTAGATCGAATGTAGATTCCTTCAATCATAGAATGCTTAGTGTTGAAATGTTAGAGAATTAAGATCTCAAATAGTATTAACATTTTAAATAAGACATTTTGTAACACTCTAATTTCATTAAAAAAATACGCATATATATATATATCATAACGTAACGTATCATGCAATCAAAATCTAATATTAAGTTACATAAGATAATCAAGTTCAACAAATCATTTATAGCTCTCGGAAAGAAGTTTTTATAATTAACAGTGTTAGTAAAATTAAAAAAAGGTGCAATATAACACAGAAACGTGGCTGACATACTGCAGGTTGAAAAAGCTAGCAAGAGGGAACGAGAAGAACAAAATTGAAAGGCAGACCCACTTTATCATATCACTGTCACTATAACTAGCTATATAATAAATGTTTTTTTTATCATATTGCCTCCTACTCACTTTTTACGACAGTAAATATATGGTTTTCAGTGTACAAGGATTCATGGGTACGTAAAAAAGACAATACTGTCGATCGGGACAGAGTATTACTACCATCTAGCTAGTACTAGAAATTGAGGTATCAAAATTATGATTTTGATCTTAGCTAATGTATAATCACCATATTATACATTTCTCCTTCATCGCATGCAATGCATCACAAGCAAGCATATGATGAGTTGAGTTGTGATCTGAACCAAATCCGCAGCCGAGCTACTCCAACTGGGTCGCCCAAGATCTCCTTCCAGATACTGTTCTCGTTCTCCTCCCCACATTTCCTGTACATCGCTATACATATGAAGAAAAGCAGCTGAAAAACCTTCCTATCTAATTGACGAGCGAATTAACGTACCATGAACAAATAGATGAATTTTGCAACATGTACAGCTTGTAGCTATATAAGTTACAAATTCTTTTATAATACACTTTCTCTAAGCATCAATAAAGCGTATTTTACATGGGTAATAATTAACGTACCAGCAAGAGTGTCAGGGTCGTGCCTATAGAGATTAACCTCGACGATCTTGTTCATGGGCAGTTCTTCCCCCAGCACCTTCTTCTTCAGATAATGGAGGATGAGCTCTTCGTCTTGAGGGTTGAATCTGTAACCCGGCGGGAAAGAATTAATCCAAGTATTCATGGTCCACGTGATCATTAACATCATGATGCTAATTACCATCGCCAGCAGCCTGCAGCTCCACGTTGACCAGATTCTCCACTGATTCTTCCTCCTCGTTCTTGACGGGAGGAGCCGACGGCGGCGGCGAGTCGGTACGGACGCCGGAAGGGATCGTCGCGGTGGGATAATGCATTTTATGGGGGGAAGAGAAAGACTATTATTTGGAGGAGATAAATAATTTTTTGCTTGATTCTGATTACCTCTCGATTTTTTCTCGTACTAATATGCAGAATATTACTTTCAGACTTTAGTTTCAAACCGAAAAAACAGAACCAAGTCCTAAAAAAAAAGTGAATTTACCGCCTAAATCAATAGATGATGATAAAAAAATTACTTTAGTACAACTTTTACAGTTGGGAGTGAATTCGAATTAATATGTATTTATAAGGCCACACCCATTATAACAATTAATGTTGTTTAAATTGGGCCTTATGGATATTGATTTTAAACCCAAGTCACTAGCTCATTAATGAGCATGAACATGATTCAATAAGGGACATGGGCCTCTCGTAAGAGGCCATGCCATGCCACGAGATGGCATGAAAATTTCTAAGTATGAAAAGTCCATGACCATGAATGAAGAGGCCATGCTGCCTCATAGCCAAGGCCAAACGACACAAAAACATGTCCATCTAGAATTTAGAAGCACATGCCATCTCAAGGAAGACCTCGATACGGTCAAAAATATTCTAAGTCTCGAGAAGGGCATGCCACTTCACGAAGAGACCATGCCGCCCCATGACCAAGGCCTAATGACTGAAAAATAAACTAAGTCTGGAAGAGGTACATGCCACTTCAAGGAGAAGCACGTGTCGCTTCATGAGAAGGGGCATGGACGCGAGACAAGATGAGACGTCCATGCCACTTCACGAGAAGGGGCATGGACACAAGAAAAGATACTAAGTATGAGAGGGTCATGCTGTGTCACGAGAAGGGCCACAAACATGACTGAGAAGTCCATGGCCGCGAATGAGGAGGCCATGTCGCCTCATGATCCAAAATATACTAAGTCTGAGAAGGTCATGACGCCTCACGAGAAGGGCCATGTGCATGATTAAGAGGTCCATGGCCGTGTCATGTGATGGCCATGGACACGAATGAGAAGGGCGTGGTGGTGGAGCACTATATCAGTAATGACTAAGTCCCAAGTGGGCCATGGACATGGGTAAGAAGTCTATGGCCGTAAGACAAGAAGGCCATGGACATGAGTAAGAAGTCCATGGCTGCGAGGCAAGAAGACCACGACTCCCTTTGCGAGACACTACATGCTCGTCAAAAGACTAGCATAGCACGAGATTCAGAACAAGACTAGACGAGGCAAGCTAAACTCCAAAACCCACGACGGTTCCAAGAGAGGCACCTTAGCGGTTGAAGGAGTAACCACCACTCCGAGGAAGCAGGGAGTAGTTCTTTTTGGGAGTTATCCAAGAGGTGGTTTTCTACCGAAGAAGGAGGAGCGGTTCTTTGTAGCAGTTATCCAACAAGCGGTTTTCTATGGCGGTTACATCCTCGGGGCTATAAATAAGAAGAGGGGTCGACAGAGACAAGGGGTTCCAAAAACCAACACTCTGACACACATGTCAAGTTTATCCTTTACCTTTTCTCTATCATGTAGCCATAGATGTAGTTCGTAGTTTGGAGCTCTCGCCGAACCTCCATAGGAGTAGAAGTAATTTAATTTAGATCTCGTTCCCAAAAACCATCAATCAAACACCCTCGTTCGAACTTTGTTTGAAGAGGTTTGAGCCGTGTCTTAGAAATCGTTGTCCAAAGAAGTCAAAGGTGCAATCCATCTCAATTCAACACAAAGAGTTTTCTCGCAGGGAAACAAATTTGGCACACCTAGTGGGACCATTGTGTTTGATTTGATGGCTCCACGACTGAGTGAACAAGAAGGTGATCTTTCACCTGGGTTTGTGATGGATCTTGTCGCCAATTTTGAACTTGGCCAAGAGGGACAAGGATTGGTCAGAAACAATGGCAAGGTAGAGGCTTCGCCACGGCCGACACCTTCTGTCAAAGTAACCACCACCGTCATGTCACGCCATTTGATAGTGGAGGAGACACAGAAGATGATGACGGAGAGCCGCCTGGCCATGGAGAAAAACCTCCAGGCCATGGAGGAGAACCGCCAATTCATGGAGGAAAGTTGGGATGAACTTGTTGGATGTTCACATCAGACAAGTCTCAAACTTGCTTCTCTTAGTTCCACCTTAGATAGAAGGTTGGACGAATTATTTGAAGTAGTTATAAAAAATAAAAATTGCTTGGATAAGTTTATAAATGATTTTATAGATCCAGTGGTGCAAGAAATATCTTTACCAAATAATGGTATAGATCCACCACCAAGTATTGCTACTAAGGATACAATTATTATGGTCTCCGATGGTCGGACTACCCAACCACGGTCAGGAAACTCGTCGCCTCCGGTGACAAGTTAACCCCCTTTTTTACGTGGTGGTTATGGCGAGAATCTCACTCACAAGTTCTCCACCCACGTAAAGCAACCGCTTGTGCAGACAGTTACACAAGAAACTGTCTTGGTGTCAAGATCATGTATGTCACCTCGTAATGGGAAGGCTAGTGGAGATCAAGTCGATTTTGATCAACTAGCACCAGAAGCTTGTCCACCCTCATTGACACCCCTAGTCGATGGGTATGGTGGATGCAAACCACCTAAGGGGCAGGAAGAGGTGCATGGAAGCCTACCACCTGATAGGTTGAAGATGAAAAATCAGGCTGGGGGGCAAGTTGATGTTAAGAAAGGTGAACAAAATGGTGTGTCCAACAGAACACCATATTTGTTTCCTAAATATGGCATGGGGGGCATATCTCCATTTCCATGCAGTGGGAAGCGGGGCATGTCATCAAATATGAAGGATGAAGTGAGTGGCAAGCCTAAGTGGGTGTTGGATACCCATGCCACCCATGATTTTCATAACTTTGACAGCGTGTCAAAGAGTGGACAAGGAGGCAAGGCCCCTTGTGGCATGCCACCCATGAACGGTCGGCAACGGGGCATGTCACCAACCACAAACAATAGACGGATAGACGTGCCCAAGAATCCACATGAAGTCGAAGCCACACATGCTTGTGATAAACATACTAATATGGCTAAGTCTGGACATGACGGCATGCCACCAACCACAGAAAGTGGACATGGAGGCGTATCCAATAAGACACGATGTGATAAAGCCACAAAAATTTATTGTAGATGTGAAAATTTAGCTAATTATGGACAAGGCATGTACAAGAAGCCACGTGAAATCCAAGCCACACATGCATATGATAAGCATGTTAGTCTGGCTAAACCTGGACATGGGGGCATGTCACCCATCGTGAAGTATGAAGTAGGGGGCATGTGTTGGAAGACACAACAGCTCCAAGCCACCCATGGCTTTTATAAGTGTACAACTATGGTTAAGTCTGGACAAGAGGGCATGCCACCAATCATCAACAGTGGACATGAGGTCAAGTCCAACAAGAAAAGACGTGGGAAAGCCAAAAAGAGTTCTCGTAGTGTTGAAAATTTAGCTAAGTATGGGCAAGGAGGCATGTCACCCACCATGAATAATGGAGTAGGGGGCATGTCCAAGAAGCTAAAAGAATTTCAACCTACACATGCTTGTGATAAGTACGCAAGTTTGGCTAAGTGTGGACAGGGGGGCAAGTCCATGTCCATGAGTAGTAAGTACATGCCATCAATCATGAATGATGGACATAGGGGCATGCATAAGAAGGTATCATACGCACAAACCAGACATGGCCTCACAAAGAACCAAGGATGGTCGTGTGCTAAGGGTAGGAGCCAACAAGGTTTGGAGCTTGAAAGACAAAGTCAAGTGGGCCATATGGGTGGTCGCCAACTTGTCAAGACTGGACATCGTCTCCAACAACATGAGGAGAGTAAGCATGTCTCAACCATGAGGAAACCAAGGCAGAGGAAAACCCATGGTCGTCTTGACATGTCAAGTGATGTGGCTAAAGCGTATGAGCATGAGACCCCATGCAAGGCCACCAAGGCTAGACATGCTGATCATATACCACCCACTGGTAAGCTAGAAGATTCAAAATTAATGTATGGAGAATCATGTTCTATGGAGGAAAAGAGGCATGTGGTATATGGATGGCTTGCATGTTTTAATCCATGGACTTGGCAGTGGGTGTGCACCTTTGGCGCATTAGTTGTTGCCAGAGGCAATGGAGAGCAGTGACGTTTGTCACTCCTTGTTATCTTAAATAAATAAATATCAAATATATTAATAAATAAATAAAAGCCAATCATGGCTATATAAGAAAAAATAGAGAGAAAATAAAAGCCAATCATCGAAGTTATTAGACTTTGATGTGAAGATCTTACCACCAAGTCGTAGTGATGGCTTGGCATACTGAGTCGTAGATTGCGTCTTGCCATGCTATGTCGTCTTGTCCCAAGTGGCCACCAGTTTGGATGTTGGCCACGACCTAAGGGCATCGTGGCTTGGAGATGAGTGATGGCCAGCTTGATCATGTACAATAAGAAAAGTGTAGGGGCCTCACTGAATGGTTGACGAAAAGCCAACAAGGCAAGGGTTTCTCGTGGCTACACATGAATGAAGACAACATAGGCGGCATAGCTAGCCACTTGAAAGACGTAGGTATCATGGTGTTGTTTTAGGGGGGAAAATATCAAGTTTTATTGGACCTGTGGTCATGAGTGAGTAGAGACAAGCCTTGTTACTCGAGGACAAGTTAGAGAAGGGATATAAGTGGTCAAGTTGGTCTCAACTACTTAGTCCATAATCCTTATGCACTAAGTAGTTGGGGGGGCATTTGTTTACACCATAAATTTTGTCTTGTGCCACATTGGTGAGTTACAAGATAATCAAGGAGTTTATAAGGCCACACCCATTATAACAATTAATGTTGTTTAAATTGGGCCTTACGGATATTGATTTTAAACCCAAGTCACTAGCTCATTA